TAGAAAGTTGAAGCGGTATAAAGGAGATTCAATTTTACAAGAAAAGGCATTTTTATGGTAAAAGTCAATTAAAAACTGACTAATGTGAATATGTAAAGTCAATTATATTCAATAGGAATGAAGCTTCGACTTATGCAAGATGATTAAGTTGTAAAGACTTGTTATAATACATTGTGCTATAATCACCATTACTGTATCGTATACTTAAATATTGGTCGAAAGTGTTGATCTCATGATATGTTTTCTTATGACAATAAAAAGTAAAAAGATTTGGAAAAACAGAAAAAGTTCATATATATATAACTAACTAGAAGAGGTAGAGGGAATGGGAATGGGGAAATAGATTAGTGCCTATTCAGCTTATATGTAATTAAATTATTAATTGAAAATAATGAATAATATAAGATAGAACTATTCTTTCAGGTGGGGGATGGGAATAATATGGGGTTTAAAATATCATTTCCTGCACATATATATGTGTGTGTCTGTATATGTAGGTGACAGGCATGTGTGTGTCTTACAAATACTTTGCAAGTTGAAATTTTGTAATCCAGGATGGTCCTGTCCCGTCTTAGACTTTTTTCTTTGTGACCAAAGTAAGTTTATTATATATCATACTCATAACTTAGGAAATGGACAATACCTCTGTGCAATAAATAATAACCTTTAAATGAGAGATCAAACTGTAATATAAAGCATCAATAGAATGGAAATTGTAAAAGTGATACTTTTTTATTTTATTTTATTTTTAATTTTACAAAACTGTGGGAATGCTAAATAGATAGGGAAGTTGGCAGAGCTGATGATGGGATAAAGTCCTGTTAACTGAGCAGGGTACTGACTATCATTGATCACATGACTTTACAGAGGAAGCAACAACACAAACTTCTTGCGGATACTCAGACTTTGGAAAGAACCGCAAGGATTTCAATTCATTGTCTTGAATAACTTAAGATGTGTAAAAATCTTTGTTATTTCCACTTTATGGCCCACAATTTGTCTGTTACTTCAAAAATGGTAAAGCCTAGAATGTGCCACACTCACGTTAGGTATTAGGAACACCAGGATGCAGAAGGAACAGTGTGTCTTGCCCTAAAGTAGTGAATACTCTAGAGAATGATAAGTTGTCACTGTTTATCAAAGATAAAATCACATTAAACATAGATGGCAGACCTGAAGACAAAACCTCATATTTTATTTCAGAATTTTAAGATGGATATTATATTCACTCATTCACTTATTCATCATTCATTACATCAGTCAGTAAGTTAGCAAATATATTCTGAACACCTACTCTTTCCTGGGTATTATTTTAGAAGCTATTAATACAAAGACAAACTATTTAGACATTCCCTTTTCACTGATAAAGCTTACAGACTAGAAAATTCCTCACAAGAAGTAAAACAAAAATGTTATCAATATTTAATTACAATATTTTTACATGCATGAGGAAAGATCACAATATCATATGAAAAATGTATTTTCCATCAAATAATTTTAATTTAGAAAAGGAATTGGAGCAGGTATATGATGGGTTCCTTCCAAATGTCACTAAAATAATTGAAATTTAGTCTTCTTACAACCATGCACATTTTGAATTTATGCTGTATGTCATCTGGATCTTATGACAGATACACCAAGGCTTGTTCTTGATCAGAATGGAGGCTTTGCCTTCAGTTCTATTCTCAATATTCACAGTAAAATGGAACATCGGGGCCAGAATCCTGGGTTTTCTACCTTTTGGATTTTCTCCACCCGAGGGCCAGCAGCCACACTTCCCAAACATTACAGGGCACAATTCAAAACAAACACACAAAGGGTGGAATCATTGCACAAGATTGTTACTCAGTAGGATCATCTAAGCATATCTGTAGGCTATCCCTGTACTTTCCCTCTGTGGGTGTAATCGTGTGAGACTTGCATAATTGGTCTTTCTTTCCCTCAGGAATCAGAACTTCATCTGAGAATTCCTGTTTTCATGTGTGGGGCCTGGATCCATATACAAGCTTATTTCAGTGTGCAGGTCTTTGGAGACTTCAGACACTTGTAAAACTCTTCAGTGTGCCTCTTGCAAAACCTTTGCAGTGGGTCTCAGCAGATCTCTGGACAGGTAGGTTCAATGACTCAAACTGTGGTGTCCAGCATCCCTGCTGATAAATTCAACCTTGCGAGCATTTCTACAGAATGACAAAGAGTCATTATGAGCATTCTATTTCACCTTAAGATAAAGAAGAATGCATTTTGCCTTAGCTGGCAGAATTGATGTTTCAGAAAGCACTCTATATCATATAGGAACTTCCTTTTTTAAAAATTATGTTTTTTTTAAATTCAATTAATTAACATACAGTGTATTAATAGTTTCTGAGGTAGCGTTCATGGAATTTAAGAAACAGATAGGACGCTACTTAAGTGTCTTTGAAATATGAGAGGTCTTTTCCAAGAAAGACCTACTAAATTGCTAAACATCAAGAAAAATAAGTTTCTCCCATTCTGCATGTTCACATTGTCCAGGGGAAAAAACCTATGATAGAAAGATTCTGTGGAGCCAACAGTTTGTATGTTGCTACTGGATGCTGAGGGCACAGAAGAAGTTGCCATTTGTCCCTAACATAGCCCATTTGTAAATAAATGTAAGATAAAATTCTATTATTAGAGAACAATGGAATATACTCTTGAAATCATTACAGAAGATATTTAAAAACTAATATGCATATTATTTCTCAGCCAAACTGTACCATAAAATGACTAACATTAAGTATATCTTTAAAAGTTTTTTTTCTTTAACTGAGAATTGCTTATTTTGGTAGAGCTATGAAATATTTCTTTTCAGAAACTAAATTGAAAAAAACCTACATGTAAAAATCAAAATAACTTTTTTGTGACATATACTTACCAAAATGAAGAATAACCCTACCTTTGCCAATAGTAATATTTCAATAGAAAAAGGAATTAATAAGTAAGGATATATGCAAATATATTCTTTTCAAAACCTAATTGCAGGGTGCCTGGGTGGCTCAGATGGTTAAGCGTCTGCCTTCGGCTCAGGTCATGATCCCGGAGTCCTGGGATCGAGTCCCGCATCGGGCTCCCTGCTCCTTGGGAGCCTGCTTCTCCCTCTGCCTCTCTCTCTCTCTCTCTCTGTCTCTCATTAATAAATAAATAAAATCTTTAAAAAAAAAAAAACCTAATTGCACAAGTTCATAGAACATAATCCATAATTACTGTTGCTGTGTTTTTTTTTTGTTTTTGTTAAATTAAGGATACATTCATTGAATATATATCTCAGAATAAAACATGCACCAAGCTGCTTTGTTCAGGAAATGCTTTGTTCTAAAGTGAGGGTTGCCACAATGACTTTTATCATAAGCTTACCTGTGCATTTCCTTTCAGATGCAGTGATAGGACAAGAGACATGAACTATTTAGTGTAACATGGTCAGATAAGCTCATCAGACATATATTCGATGTATGAAAAATTAAAACCACAGATTTAAGAAACAATCAATTTATGGGAGAACACAACTTGATTTGTTAAATAAATAGCTAGATATCATGTGTTCCAGGTACTTGAATATGTAAAATTATAATTTACTTGCTACTCCTATTTCAACATGAAACTCCTAAGTGAGGGAGAATGAGTTACTAGGACACAAACAGGAAACCACATTAGAAAATCATTTAAAACATGCTAATAACAAGAACTGTTAGTACCAATTATTTCGCATTCATTAACAGACTCTGTACTAACCTGTGTTTGTATAGTATCTCATTACATTCACACAACACAAAAATATAAATACTTGATAAAAATCACACAGCTAGTAATTGGTGGCCTAACAGCCAACCAACTAAGTGACCAAACAAACAAGCAAACAAAATACATAAAGCAAAGCAAAACCGTAAAACCATACCATTCACCAATATCCTGTATAGATTTTTTGAATGACTTAGGCTCATTGAGCCTCAACTGTCCAACCAGACATAGAAATAATGATGTTCATCTTCTAGGACACTCCTGCAGAATAATGAGATCATTATTTTGAAATGGCTAGCATAGTCCTGGGCCCAGAGTACATTACATATTGAATAATGTTAACACTCTTCTCCCTATATTCTCTGTACAAGGAAAACAAACTTGAGCAAATCAAACCTACAAGTAATATTTTTTAAAACATCAAAACAGGCTTTAAGCAATTTAAAAGAAAGAAGTACAAGCTGGAAAAAAAAAAAGAAGAAGAAAAGAAAAGGCTGCCAGAAGACCACGATAAAGCAGCATCTGAACAGGTAGATATGAGTGATAGAAAGGACTAGTTTATTTGGCAGAAGAAAGGATATGTGATTAACTTTAAAAAATCAGTTTCTGAATGACACTAATAAAGAAGGCTACTGAGATGTAGTCTGTTTCTGGGCAGTAGAAGCAGCATGGTATGGTAGAAACTGATAAAACCCAACATATTCCAAGTATTTCCTGCAGAAATATTGAAATCCCCTAGGATGAAGACAATGTATGGGCTGAAGAGCCTGTGGCATCAAAGGAAAAAATAACTGAAAGTCACTCTGGATCATCAACTTCTTATATGTAGCTATCTTTTATCATTGGGAACATACAAACATACACAGAGGCATGTGCATGTATATGTAAATATGTAGTCATGCAACATTACAATTATTATGTTTATGCATATAAGTATTAATGCATATAACATAGTAGATTAATATATATTCAACTAATATAAATTGCATTCAACACAGAAGTGAAAAATTAATAGCTTGGTATAACAGTTCTAACAACCTGAAATTGGTCTCCAGAGAGTTTGTATTTCTGAATCTTGTTAAAAGATTGGGAAAAATACAATTAAAATCTGACACTTTTACATGTGAACAAAAATTATACAATTTAAATGAAACAGTCTACAATCTAGCATCTACCAGAAAAATCAACTTGGCCATCTATTCATCTTTTCTCATTTTCCCCATTAAAAGATGAGAACAACAAAATAAATGCCCTCAGAAAATCTCACCTGGGTGACTGAATTCATTCTCATGGGAGTCTCAGATCGCCCAGAGCTCCAGATTCCCCTCTTCTTTGTTTTCCTGATCATCTATGGGCTGACCATGGCAGGGAACCTGGGCATCATCACCCTCACCAGTGTTGACTCTCAGGTTCAAACGCCCATGTACTTCCTCAGGCACTTGGCTATCATCAATCTTGGCGATTCTACTGTCATTGCCCCGAAAATGCTGGTAAACTTCTTGGTTTCAAAGAAAACCATATCGTACTATGGTTGTGCAGCCCAGCTGGGTGGGTTCCTGGTTTTTATTGTTGGTGAGATTTTCATGCTGGCCACAATGGCCTATGACCATTATGTGGCTATTTGCAACCCCCTGCTGTATAAGGTGATGGTGTCTCCACGGATCTGCATACTACTGGTGTCCCTCACATACCTCTACAGTCTGACCACAGCACTGACCGTCTCCTCCTGTGTGTTCTCCGTGTCATACTGCTCTTCCAATGTAATAGACCATTTTTACTGTGATAATGTCCCTTTGTTGGCATTGTCTTGTTCTGATACCCACATTCCAGAAATAATAGTGTTTACCTCTGCAGGGACCAATTTGTTTTTCTCTATGATTATTGTTCTAACATCCTACTTTAATATTGTCTTTGCCATTTTGAGGATACATTCCTCAGAGGGCCGACGAAAAGCCTTTTCCACCTGTGCCTCTCACATGATGGCTGTCGCTGTGTTCTATGGGACCCTTCTTTTCATGTATTTGCAACCAAGGACCAACCACTCATTAGATACTGATAAAATGGCCTCTGTCTTCTACACCCTAGTGATACCAATGCTGAATCCCCTCATATACAGCCTAAGGAACAAGGATGTGAAGGATTCAATGAAGAGATTCCTAAAGAATCCTTGGCAGGCTTTCAAATTAATGTAAATTTAAAACTACAGTTGTCTTCATTTAAGGATTTGTATTTATTCCTGAAAAGCTAATCCCTGCTAAATGCAGAGGCAATACAAAGTTATAAATTCTATGGTTTTCAATGGGAAACTCTTAACCCTTTCTACTCTGACCTCAAATACCTAACTTTACCTAATACAAAGATGTATTAGTTGACCAAAGAAAGTACACTTAAGTAGTAAAAAAAATTTCAAAATAAATACATTTTAAACTGCAACACAACTGGCTACTAGGTTTTTGTAATTTCTAGCCAAGGAAAAGAAAGTCTGAGAGCTGAAGAAGGAATGTGAGAACGATTTCTTGGAATGTGGTTGAGTCAGATCATCCTACTTGCCATAGATCGTGTTGTTCAACTATTAAAAGTTTTACTTTTAATTTTCCTGTATTTTATCTTCCATTTTCTTAACCTTTTAGAATCCATTTTTATCTTGTACTTACATAAACTGATATCAAAGAGAAAACTTTAGGTGAAAATGAAAACTAAAAAAAAAATGCTTAGATATACATGGAAACAGATCATGTGGCAAAACAGAAGAAAATGTATGAAAGGGGATTCCATTGTTTCATTCCTCTCATGTGGTACATGTACACAAAAGCAAAATGTTGATATTTATCCCAATATGATATAAAAGTAATTTTCTCCATATCATATTCTCCTAGGAAACTCTGCTATGTAGAGTTAATTATCTGTGTTATAAAATCATGACAGCAAACATCACCTCTTTTAGCATTTTTGTTTAGTATTTTGGAGTAAAATGTTAGTAGATAAAAAGAAAAAAAAAACCAAAGTGTTTGCACTTAAGGTGATACCAAGTCTCAAAGACAACAGGGCAAATAAATAACTAAATAAGTAAATAAACAAAATAAATAAATAAATGTCACTGTCATTCTGTGCCCTATTTCAATCTGTACATGGAAAATGCTGCTAACATACAATATCATGAGGGAGATGGGGAATGCCATGCTATGTAAGGCAATGACTAGAAATAAAGTAGATTTATGACATTTTCAGGGAAGTCAGAAATAAGGCAAATACAGGAACTGTGACAGTCAGTTTCATTAGCTAATACCTGATACAGTTTTAAATAAGCAGAATAACTAAAAGCAGAAAAGTCACAAAGACATAACTGGCAATAACTTGATAGCAGTAGCCTTAAGGATTTTATGTTTTATTCCTTATAAATATATGAGTATATGATATAGAGGAGCAAGATGGCAGAGGAGTAGGAGACCTAAATTTCGTCTTCCCTTAGGAATTCAGCTAGATAGGGATCAAACCATTCTAAACACCTATGAACTCAACAGGAGATCAAAGAAAAGAATAACAGCAACTCTCTGAACAGAAAAGCGACCACTTTCTGGAAGGTAGGATGTGCAGAGAAGTGAATCCGAGGCAATATTCGGGAAGATAGATGGCGGGGGAGGGAACATCCATCAGCTGCTACCCACAAGAGATAAAGCAGCGGAGCACAAAATCGGAACTTTTAGAAGTCGGCTCCGCTGATGGACATGGCTCCAGTGGCTAAGCGGGGGGTGGAACCCTTGCAGGACAGTGTGGTCTCAGGACCCTCAGAGTCACAGGAAGACGAGGGATGCCTGAGTGCAGCAGAGCTCCCAGGTATCCATACAGGGAAGACAGCTGCAGAGACGGAGCCGAGGAGTGGGCTCTCATCTCAGGGTTGCCATAAACCGTGATCTGCTGCACAGTCTGGCCACTGCTCTTCCAGCAGGGACCCAACAAGCAGCAGATCCGGGACGGGGAAGGTTCCCCTTCCTCCCCCTCGAGGAGTGGTGTGGGAGCACACTGCAGGGATCTGCTGGGTTTGGAGACTCTACACGGGGTCGGGTGCCAGAGATAGAAAAGCTCAGTCACAGGCCAGGTGAGCACGGAGTGTGGCTGGAGACCAGGGAGACAGGAGTGAATGATTGCTTTTCTCTGGGGGCACACTGAGGAGTGGGGGCCCGAGTTCTTGGCTCCTCTGGGGTGGAGATTGGGAGGCCTGCCGTTTTCACTCTCATCCTCCAAAGCTATACGGAAAGCTTGCAGGGAATAAAACCTACTGAGAGCAAACTAGAGCAGATTACTTAGCCCAGCCCCTGGAAAGGGAGGTGCAATTCGAACTTGGGCAAAGACATTTGAGAACCAATGCAACAGGGCCCTACCCCAGAAGATCAGCAAGAACAGCCAGCCAAGACCAAGTTTACCAATCAATGAGAATGGCAGAACTCCAGCACTAGGGGAATACAGCACATAGAATTCATGGATTTTTTTCCCTTGATTCTTTAGTCTTTCAAAGTTAATTTTTTTAATTTTCTTTTTTTCTTTTTCTATTTTTTTTTAATTTTTCTGTTTCCCTTTTTCAACCAACACCTTATAAATCCTTTTCTTAAAAATCTTTTTTTATTTTTCATTTTCAGAGTCATATTCTATCCCTTCATTGCAGTTAACCTTATTTTTGGTATATATATGTTGTTCTCTCTTAAAATTTTGGGATACAGTTTCTTCTAACAGACCAAAATACACCCTAAATCTCTAGAGTATGGCTTTGTTCTAGTCTTCTGCCTGATCACATTCTCTCCACCCCCCCTTTTTTTTTCATTTCTCTTCTTTCTTTTTTCAACCAACTTCTTATCAATTCCTTTTATAAAATCTTTTATAATTTTCATCTTTAACATCATATTCATCATATTTACCCTTATTTTTGTACATATACAAGTTTTTCTTTTTTTAAAATATTGGGAGGCAGTTTCTTCTAACAGACCAAAATATGCCCAAAATCTACTATGTAGCACTGATCTATTCAACAGCCTGATCATATTTTTTTTTTCTTTTTCTCTTTCTTTTTCTTTTTCTTTTTCTTTTTTCTTTCCCTTACTTTTACCCCAGTTTTAAGTCTCTTCTGATTTGTTTAGTGTATATTTTTCTGGGGTCATAGTTACCCTGTTAGCATCTTGCTCTCTCATTCATCTTTTCTCCTCTGGACAAAATGACAAGACAGAAAAACTCACCTCAAAAACAAGAATAAGAGGCAACACCAACTGCCAGGGACCTAATCAATACAGACATTAGTAAGATGTTGGAACTAGAGTTCAGAATGATGACTTTAAAGATACTAGCTGGGCTTGAAAAAAGCATGGAAGATACTAGAGAAATCCTTTTGGGAGAAATAAAAACTAAAATCAAAGCAAGTCGAAATCAAAAAGGTTATTAATAAGGTGCAATAAAAAATGGAGGCTCTAACTGCTAGGATAAATGAGGCAGAAGAGAGAATTAGTGATATAGAAGACCAAATGATAGAGAATAAAGAAGCTGAGAAAAAGAGAGATAAACAACTACTGGATCACGAGGGCAGAATTCGAGAGAGAAAGATACCATAAGATGAAACAATATTAGAATAATTGGGATCCCAAAAAAAGAAGAAAATAGAGAGGGGCAGAAGGTATATTGGATAAATTATAGCAGAGAACTTCCCTAATTTGGGGAAGGAAACAGGCATCAAAATCCAGGAGGCAAGGAGAAACCCCTCAAAACCAATAAAAATAAGTCAACACCCCGACATCTAACAGTAAAACTTACCAGTCTCAGAGACAAAGAGAAAATCCTAAAAGCAGCTCAAGACAAGAGGTCTGTAATCTACAATGGTAGAAACATTAGATTGGCAACAGACCTATCCACAGAGACCTGGCAGGCCAGAAAGGACTGGCATGATATATTCAGAGCACTAAATGAGAAAAATAGGCAGCCAAGAATACTATATCCAGCTAGGCTGTCATTGAAAACAGAAGGAGAGATAAAAAGCTTCCAGGACAAACAAAAACTAAAGGCATTTGCAAACATGAAACGAGCCCTACAAGAAATATTGAAAGGGGTCCTCTAAGCAAAGAGAGAGCCTAAAAGTAACAAACACCGGAAAGGAACACAGACAATATACAATAACAGTCACCTTACAAGCAATACAATAGCACTAAATTCATATCTTTCAATAGTTACCCTGAATGTACATGGGCTAAATGCCTCAATCAAAAGACACAGGATATCGAATTGGATAAAAAAACAAGACCCATCGATATGCTGTGTGCAAGAGACTCATTTTAGACCCAAAGACACCTCCAGATTGAAAGTGGGGGCGGGGCAATTTACCGTGCTAATGGACATTAAAAGAAAGCTGGGGTGGGAATCCTTATATCAGACAAATTAGATTTTAAACCAAAGACTATAATAAGAGATGAGGAAGGGCAATATATTATATTTAAAGGGTCTATCCAACAAGAAGTTCTAACAATTGTAAATATCTATGACCCTAACATAGGAGCAACCATTATATAAGCCAATTAATAACAAAATCAAAGAAACACATTGAAAACAATACAATAATAGTGGGGGACTTTAACACCCCCCTCACTGAAATGGACAGATCATCTAAGCAAAAGATAAACAAGGAAATAAAGACTTTAAATGACACATTGGACCAAATGGACTTCACAGATATATTCAGAACATCCCCTCCCAAAGCAACAGAATACACATTCTTCTCTAGTGCCCATGGAATATTCTACAGAATAGATCACATCCTAGGTCACAAATCAGGTCTCAACTAGTACCAAAAGATTGGGATCATTTCCTGCATATTTTTGGAGCACAGTGCTTTGAAACTAGAACTCAATCGTGAGAGGAAACACAGAAAGAACTCAAATACATGGAGGCTAAAGAGCATCCTGCTAGGGAATAAATGGGTCAACCAGGAAATTAAAGAAGAATTAAAAAAATTCATGGAAACAAGTGAAAATGAAAACACAACTGTTCAAAATCTTTGGGATGAAGCAAAGGCAGTCCTAAGAGGAAAGTATATAGCAATGCAAGCCTTTCTCAAGAAACAAGAAAGGTCTCAAATACACAACCTAATCCTACAGCTAAAGGAGCTGGAGAAAGAAGAGCAAATAAAGCCTAAACCCAGCAGGAGAAGAGAAATAATAAA